CTGAGATAAAGAATAAAATGAAATATTAAAATCACGATGTATCTCGCTGCATTGCGCGAGTACGCTTCTAGTTACTTAAAATTCACAAGTATATTATGCGTAAGTACAATTTCTTAAAACTCTAGGTTTGAATTCGTGTCACTAACTGCAGATAAAGATAATAAAATACAGGATAAACATATCATTTGGAATATAAAAAAACTAAAATATAATTAGGATAATCATTGAGTTCTAACAGAATATTTAATTATTATCGTTATAAAAAAATTATATTATTAATTCTAAATTAAATTACTTTAAATTAAATTAGAATAAAAAATTTGAATTAAAGAAATTACACAAAACACAAACTTTAAAATAGTTAATTTGATATTAATATCCACATTTTTTTTCCAAATTTTTATGATATTTTAAAATTTTATATTTTTTTCAAAATTAAAAACATTATCGTTTTCTCAAAACTACATAAAACCTTATTATATCGACATAGATAAAAAATAAAACAAAACATTGCAATCGAGATACGCTCAATGCATTGCACGAGTACCATCCCAGGAAATTTGATAAAAACTCTTAAAACCCAATTTTTATGCATTATGTACTGTTTATTGATGCATATTATTCAAAACTCAAGTCTACAAGTAAATTGTGAGTATGTACAATTTATTGAAGCTCCATGTTTAAATTCGTGTAACTAAATGTAGATAAATATAATAAAATACTAGATAGGTATCTCATTTTAAATCTAAAAAATCTAAAACATATTTAAGATAATTATTGAATTTTAATAGATTACTAATTATTATCTTTATAAAAAAAATTATATTATTAAACCAAAAATAAAAAAATAAATTAAAGAAATACACGAAAAAGATAAATTTTAAATAGTTAGTTCCATACTAATATCAATTTTTTATGATATATCTTCATATTTATATTTTATTCAAAAATAAAAATATTATCGTTTTTTAAAGTCATATTAAAACGTACTCTAACATTAATTGTGATAAAAAAACAAAAAAAAATATTAAAATTAAGATGTATTTCACTGTATTGTTCAGAACTACTATCTTAATAGATTTTTAAAAGAGAAGACTTTTTGCATAGTTCGAGAACTAATCACATGATATTTATTCCGACCTTACTAGTCTTTGTTTACTTGGTATAACAATAAAAAAGATTACTTGCACCAAATGTTTGTATAAATATTGCAACTGCTTACCGGCGTTGCCAAACACCTTTCGTCTCCGGCCGCCCGCCTCTAAATGGGTTTAAAGACTCTGATATGTTTGGTGACAACCGCCATTCTTGTCGTCCTTACTTTCTTCGCCATTTATATAACCCGAGTGCTCCCCAGTATCCAGTTACAAGAGTTCTACGTTCCCGCACTTAACACCACCACCGGAAATCTCACCGCAACCAACAACACCATTTACATCAACCTCAGGCTCAAAAACAGGAATCCGGCAACCGGCCTTCACTATGATCCACTTTATCTCAACATATCCTTCATTCCCAACGAAGACAGAAACAACACCAGCATGATCGCGTTAGGGGAATACCGGATGCGCGGTTTCTACCAAGGGAACGGGAAGGCGAAAAGCGTGATGGGTGCGTTGATGACGCGTGGTCTGCCGGTGGCGAGTAGCGGGTTTTTTAGGGTTGAGTTCTTTGGGAAGGTGAGATACAAGTTAGTCGGGTACAGGAAGAGACACAAGATGAAGTTGGCAGCAGATGTGGACGTCGATGAGAAAACCGGCAACAAAGTTGAAAACGAAGTGATTAGATTGGTGAAATCCGGTGCTAATTGGTATAAAAAACGGCCATCCATCACGGTCGTGCCCGTTTCTATGATCTTGTTGGCCATGCTTTTCATTTAACGAACTCGCCATAAATACAGATTATTGTGTTAATTTGGTTAGATTTCTCGTTCTGAAACATTTAGGGGCAACTTGTGTTGTCTTGTCCTATCTAGTCCTAGTCGTACCAAACATTAGATAGACAACTTAATTTTCTCTACTCTGGTCATGTCCAGTCATGCTCTTTTTTTTTGTCTAGTCATATCTAGGCTAGGCCAATCATATATGCATACCAAATGCTATCTAAGGAGATAATTGAGGTTCCAACTTAATATAATAAGAAGCCAATATGGCATTCCAAGACAAAAACCGTTTGTCAAAGAAAGTGACCAAATATATACATGAACAATGTGAAGGAACACCTAATTAGAATTTGATACCAAAAAACACTACAATTTCGAATGTTTTACCGACAGACGTAACCTTAGAAAGTATACGTAAAAATGACAATGGTCCATAATCCATCGCTGAAAATTGTAAATTTTGTCGTAAAGTGAGAACAATGTGTAATCCATCTAAAAGCTAAGGGGCTATTTGGTTACCTCTTAATAGTTCTATTAAAAGACAACCTCTGAATCGCTAAGAGGTAAATCTTGTTTGAAAGAAAAGGAAAACTCTGTCTCTTAATGGTTCTAAAATCTTCTGAATGATTTTGTATCTTGGGTCTCCCTAAACCGTTCAGAGCCCTAATTTCATTCCGAGTAATTACCAAACATCCATGTTTCATTTTACAGTATATCACAATAGACTTTTAATCATTCTGAACATTTAATCATCCCACATCAAACCACTAAACAACTGCCGTAGAACCCCTAAGAGATAGAACGATGGAAAGAATCTTAACTTGTAAGATAATTACAGAATTTCAAAATCGTATATCATATATTTTCAAATAGAGTTTTGGGAATAACTTCTGTGACGCCCACCCATGGTTAATAAATAAATAGAGTTTTATGAATAATTTGTTGATCGGTTTCTTTAAGCTTTTTCAGAGATTGATAACTTGGAATCATCAACTCCGTAAAAGATGATAGCATTCAGAGGAAAAACGATAACCATAATGCGGCGTTTACCAAACGTATTCGAGTAAGCGCTTATCAAATCATATTACATTATCAGATGAATATGGTAAGAACCAAGAATCTTATCCAGTAAGAGTAAGACAAGGACCAAGAGTTTTACCCGGTAAGTAAGGGCAACAACTCTTACCATGGTAAGTGCTTACCGGGTAAATCATTGCATACAATGCCGTTTTGATGGATTAAAATTTTACCCGGTAAATAAATGATAGTGTTAATTTTTGCCGATAAACACTTACCAGGTAAGTGTTTGGTAAACAGCCCCTAAATCTCATCCAACCTGTGGGCAACGATATCCTTTTATTATTAATAATCTTTATAACAATGTTTATCTATACTATATTATAAAACATTTGACAAAAACTCTTAAAAATCATTTTTTATGCATAAAGTACTGTTTATTAATACATATTACTTAAAATTTAAGATTACAAGTAAATTATGCATAAGTACAACTTATTAAAGCTCTATGTTTGAATTCGTGTAACTAACTAAGGATAAACATAATCAAATAGAGGATAAACATCTCATTTTAAAATATAAAAAAATTTAAAATATAATTAGAATAATTATCGAGTTCTAACAAAATAATCAATTATTATCTTTATAAGAAAATTATATTATTAAACCAAATATTAATTACTTCGTTATTGAACCTAAATCAAATTATAATAAAAAATTTGAATTAAAAATTACACAAAAAATAAGGAATTTTAAATGATTAATTTGATATATTATTGTCAAATTTTTATGATATTTTTAAATTTATATTTTATTCAAAAATAAAAAACATCATCGCTTTTTCAAAATCACACATAAGACCATATTATAACATCGACTGAGATAAAAAACTAAAATAAAATATTAAAATCAAAATATATCTCGCTGCATTGCACGATACTCTTTTATTATTATTAACAATAACAATGACATTACTTAAATTATAATTAATGTAACTACTTGTCATTATTGTAATAGTAGTAGTAGCTGTTACTATTACTATTATTATAACAATAATTATCAATTAATTAGTGATATATATATATATATATATATATATATATATATATATATATATATATATTTGGGATCATGTGAGACCAGCCTGTTTTCGTGAGACCCGTGAGACCAGCATTTTACACTTGAAACTTCACAGCAAAAATGCTGTGAAGGTGACTTTTTAAAACCTTNCGTGAGACCAGCATTTTACACTTGAAACTTCACAGCAAAAATGCTGTGAAGGTGACTTTTTAAAACCTTCACAGTGTTTTTGCTGTGAAGGTTCGACTTTTTAAAACCTTCACAGTGTTTTTGCTGTGAAGTTTACGTGTAAAAATATGGTCTCACGGGTCTCACGAAAACAGTCTGGTCTCACGTGAACCCAACCCTATATATATATATATATATATATATATATATATAGTGGTAATAAATAATGATACTTAATTAGATGTTTGTCGTATACATATTTGTCCCAAACATGAAATAAAACCCAACTTTCGAACTTCACATCTCCAAGGACTTGACTTTTTAATCTTCCATATTATTATTATTTTCAGTCGTCGTATTAATTAATTAATTAATTAGTGATAGTGATAATAAATAATAATACTTAATTACATGTTTGTTGGAATGGATGGATCTATCTCAAATATAAAATAAAGCCTTAGATCTCCAACGACTTGACTTTTTTTTTTTTTTTGAAACGGCGAAATTTTATAGAACGAAAAAGAGAAGTCACGAGGCAAGGAGCTACGGCAAAGCCATCACCCCGGCCAAACAGACCCGGAAAGAACAAAACTAGCGAGAAGCTAGAAGGAAAACAAGAAAACAGAAGAAGCCGACTAGAAACAAAACCCAGAGGGGACCAAAACACAACAACCTACCCCACCAAAGCCTAACAAAGCAACAACCACAGGAAGGAAACTAAACCAAACTATACAGATTATCACACCAAGAACTCCACTGCACCACATTCCAGATTTTTCCCGTGTGCTTCATCCAAAAAAACAAGAGAGCCTGAATTTCAGCAAAAAAACAAATTCCACGTTGTTGAGACGATTCCGCGAAAATCAAGCTATTCCGAGCCTTGACTTTTTTAATCTCGCATGATGTATGTCCAAGGATTAAATTCAAATTGTATGACATTTATGAGTTTAAAAGCTTAATTAATTGGAAAACTTAAATTAATTAATCCAAAATCAACGCAATAATGATAGTTTTTTGTTTTTATTACAATTTTTACAACTTTTGATTTCTATGTTATGTTCACATTCCCTTATTTATTACAGGAGTATCTTTCTAATAATATATAGTGATACTTAATTAGATGTTTGTTGTATATAAAACCTAAAAACTTTCGGACTTCACATCTCCAAGTACTTGACTTTTTAATCTTCATAATAATAATAATAATAACAATATTATTATTATTATTGTAATAATAATTATTAATTAATTAGTGACAGTAATAACATATTATAATACTTGATTAGATATTTTGTTGGATGTAGATCTATCTCAAATATTAAATAATAACCTAACAACTTTAGGTTTTCACATCTTCAACATGACTTTTTAATCTTAATATTAATATTATTATTATTATTATTATCATCAACATCATGATCAATGTAATTATGAATTTATAAATGTATATAATAATAATAATGATAATAATAAAAAATAATACATAATTAAATATTTATTTATCTCAAATATAAAATAAAGTCTTAGATCTCCAACGACTTGACTTTTTAATCTCGCAAATTGTATGACATTTATGAGTTTAAAAGGTTATTTAATTGGAAAACTTAATTAATTAGTCCAAAATCAACGCAATTATGATATTTTTTTGTTTTTATTACAATTTTTGATTTCTATGTTATGTTCACATTCCCTTATTTACTTTTATGATTTTCTAACTTAGAGATTAATGAGAATAACATATTATTATATTATATCGAGATATTCTATTTTTATTAATAAGTTGTATTTATATATAATCTACTTGTAATCTTAAATTTTAAGTAATATGTATTAATAAACAATACTTCATGCATAAAAATGATTTTTAAGAGTTTTTGTCAAATGTTTTATAATATGATTTTTATGATATTTTAACTTGTAGGTTATTAACATTATAATGAGGATAAGATATTATTGCATTATATCAACGGCATTACTAATTAAGTTATGATTAGTGTAATTAATATTGACATTATTGTATTGTTTCTGTTATTATTATCTATATTATATTATAAAGCATTTGACAAAAACTCTTAAAAACTACTTTTTATTAATACATATTACTTAAAACTCAAGATTACAAATAGACAATGCGTAAGTACAATTTATTAAAGTTTCTTGTCTGAATTCGTGTAACTAACTGCAGATAAACATAATCAAATACAAGATAAACATCTCATTTTAAATATAAAAAATCTAAAATATAATTAGAATAATCATTGAGTTCTAACAGAATACTTAATTATTATCTTTATAAAAAGTTATATTACTAAACCAAAAATAGATTATTTCGTTATTAAACTTAAAT